ACTTTATTGCATCATATTAAAAAAAAAGTTACAAACAAACAGTGCAGAAAATGTTACATTGATAACAAAATGAAAATGCAGAAAATGTTACACTAATAAAAAATGACAGTACAATAGATGTATGATTCATCATGTCTTATAACTAATTTACAAATTTCCTATTATTCTATGATCCTAATCATCTAATTTTGCTTTTCTTAGAATTTTTGCAATTGCTGTCAAACTTGTGTAAAATGTGATTCCTCCACTAGTGCATGATGTTTCTTCCAATATGCGGAGTGTGTCAAATACTCTTCCTTAACTAGTAGAAAGTTGCTTCTGATATCTTTGCAGAGTTTGGAAGACATGAAACTATACATTAGCATAAATATTCAAGTCAGTGTTTTCCATTCTATTGTAATAATTGGACATGGTCAACTTGTTGCATCAGGTTGCCAGTGCTGCTACCCCATCATCTCCTAAGTGTTGTACGAGTTCTACAACTGCTCAAAAAGCTGAAAAGCATAAAGAAAGAAATTCAATCAAGCCTCAATTTTACAAGAGTTCACTTCGGTTTTGCTGCTTCTTGTGTGAACTCTGTTAACCAAATATTAAATACATAATTTGTAGAGAGAATATCTATAGAACTCTAAAGTATATATATTCTATAACCTAAGTCAAAATAAAAATAACATGCAACAGGTACCTCTTTAAAACTTTTTCCACAAAAGGAATGCCCTAATACATTGGAGTTGGCAAGCAGGGCACTCATATCCTTAGTACAACAATCATGATCTACAGTCTGAGGACGAGATTTCACGTGAACCATGGTTTTCCACAAGTTCGTTTGCTTGAGATATGGCTTGGCAGGCAGAAACCAATCCGCATTGACCTTTTATGACTCTCCCTAAATAGGATTGACATAAGCCAAAAATAAGTTAAGAAACCCATTTACAAAATTGGAAAACTTTGTTAATTTGAGTGGATTGAAAGTAAGAGGAGCTTCGGCAAGGAAGAGCTCTAGGTAGTGCAACAGAAAGAGGCCACAATCATGAGTTATCCTGTTGTGGCAACTGTCATGAAGAGAACGTGTGGTCATAAAACAATAGTGCAACCAAGCATCATAACAGGTGACAAAAAGGTATTCAATGTTCTCGACAAACCACAATAAGCACGGTATATTCCTGCCTGTTTTTCGACAATAAATGAAGGGGAAAATCAAAATTATCAAGTGATGGGGTTTTCCTTTCCAATTCTAAATAGAACAGATCACAAAATAAAATAATTTTCAAATCCATAATGCACTTAATACAGAACATATAAGAATGAGAAAACAAAGGGTAGTTAATCTTACTTGGATTTCAAAGGGGTGACCATGAATGCACATACACCTGTCTATCATGTAAGATCCATAAGTGACTAGCAGAGATGGAAACATATCAAAACCATCTGTTAGACACAATTTAAGAATCATTTTCAACCCTGTTTGAACATCAACCCTTTATTGCAAGCTATAGTCACCTGTAATCTTCCGGTAAGCCAACAATAGGAAGATCCACCATAATCCTATCAAAGAAACAAAAGACGAAACTCATTTTGTTAAGTTACTTATTTTTAGAATGCTCTTGGTTTAACTTACAACTTACAAGCAGTTTTCAAGAGGATTATTTTTTTTATCAATGGGCAATCTTGGAAAGAAATTTAAATACTCTCAGGAAATAAACACACATATAATTAGTCCAACACTCACATAAAAAACATAAGCATCCGACATATGACTGCAAGCTTCACACAGAAGAACAAACTCGAATTTGGGAAATATGGAGTGGTCCTTAAATATTACCTCAAGCAAGTGTCGGAAACAATTCAGCGAGAAAATGACCTAAAAATTGAGTTTTGTAACAATAGTAGCTTCATGGATGCAAGCATACAACCAATCAAAGAAAATTTTTAAGAAGTGAAAATTCATCGATTAAAATTGGATCATTGGGAATTTTAATAAATGAGATTGAAAATGAGAAGTTATGTAAATTAAATAAGAATCGCTTCAAGTGGAAGTGACGGTGGTGAGACTATAAGTGAAGTGGCTCTCGCAGCGGCTAATAGGTTGTGTTGCAGAGGTGGTTCTCATGATGGTATATAGGTTGTGTCGCAGCAGTGGCTCTCAGGATGGTAAATAAGTTATGTTGCAATGGTGGCTCTCACGGCGGTAAATAGTTTGTGTTGCAGCGGTGGTTCTCACAGTGATAAATAGGTCGTGTTGTGATGGTGAATAACTTTTACAACAAGGAGAAATTTCTATTGGTGTGAAACATACAATTCAATAATGTTTTTTTAGAAAGGTAGTAGTTATACTTATATCTACAAGATATAAACTTACCTTTCACTCAATATTGTTTGAGGTTTCACCGGTGAGAGCCTTAATTGAACCCTCACCCTAGACTTAACCTTAAAATAGATATTATTTAAATTTTCACGAATACTCTCGTACTTCTAAATTTAATTGAATACTATATTTTTAACTAATTAAATAATATAATTTAATGTCATCACATAATTTTTTTAAAATAAATTAATTTTTTTAATGATTTAATAAAAATAGCTGTATCCATCTTAACTCATGGGTACCAGAGAATTTTTGAATGTAAATAATAATAAATAAACGTCACAATTAAAAAATAATTAAACATGACATTATTTTTAAACAATTTTTTTATTAAAAGTAATATTTATTGTGAAACAAATTTAAAATAATAGACAAATAAAAAACAATTAAAAAAACTAAAGGTGGATATAAAAACTTTAAAAAGTTCAAAAAACCTGCTAGCCGATATGAAAGAAAAGTATGGGGAGCAATAATTGAAAATCTAGCCTTATCTAAAGATTCTTACTTGTCAATTGTTGCTGCAATTCGAAAAAAATGATTAATTTGGGCCAGAAAGAGAATCCAAAATTCTTAAATTGAAGTAACATAACTATGTAAAAGCTATAAATACAAACTTGAATTGATTTTCACAAAACCCTCGCTCGGAAACGCCGATTAGTGACTGAAATCATCGGCAAAATCAAATCTGATCAGAGAAGAAAGCTACTGAGAGCCTCTGACGGTGACAATATGGAAAGAGTTGAAAGTTGTGTGTTAAGGGATTGAGAGAAAATTAGTAGAAGTAAAACCTTATTTCTTTGTTGCAGGTTGCAACTTTTGGAACTTTTGATACAAAGAGTTCTTTTTAATTACCATGAAAAATAACAAAGATGATGAGCTTGTGAATTAGAATGAAACAAATTATTATCTGAAGAAATTTCTTACGAAAAGTAAGAATGTTGTAATATTTGTGTAAAAAGAATTACCTATAATTGATTTTACATGTTCTCATTTTAATTATATTAAATCTAAACCATCCATTTAATCTATTGGTTATTGTTTCGGGTTTCACCGGTGAGGGACTTAATTATTTAAATTTTCACGAATACTCTCGTACTTCTAAATTTAATTGAATACTATATTTTTAGCTAATTAAATAATATAATTTAATGTCATCACATAATTTTTTTAAAATAAATTATTTTTTTTAATGATTTAATAAAAATAGCTGTATCCATCTTAACTCATGGGTACCAAAACATTTCTGGATGTAAATAATAATAAATAGACGTCACAATTGAAAAATAATTAAACATGACATTATTTTTAAACAATTTTTTTTATTAAAAGTAATATTTATTGTGAAACAAATTTAAAATAATAGACAAATAAAAAACAATTAAAAAAAACAAAAGCTTAATTTATTCTATTAACAATAAACAATGATAAAATAAATAAAAAATTAACTTGTATCTTTATGTTACTACATGCTAAACAATTTAATATAAAAAAATTAATCCAAAAACAATATATTCAAATTTTTAACTATGAAAATCTTTAACTAGTATATTTAAGATATACATAAGTTAGCCAAATAAAAAAAAAAGATGAGATATTGATGGAGGGTAAAAGAAAGAAAAAAGGAGATTGTAGAAAGACGTGAAAGGGCAGGTGAATAGATTGATAAGGTTGTTTGTTTGTTTGTTGGGGTTTGAATTCATATGTTTTCCGTTCCTTTTGAAAAAGCAATAAAAGGACATCACAAAAAGACAAACAGATTCTGTTTTTCTGCCCAAACCCCAAGACCGTGTGTGTGCAATGTGCATTGTGCAACCCAAAACACCAAGCATTTCTTTTCTTTTCTTTTGTTTTTGTCACAACCCACACGAGTGGTTCTTCAACTGCATGTACACCATTCACTTTTCCAGACAGACAAACCCAAACCCAAAATCAAAACCCTCTTTATTACCCTCTTTAATTATTCAACAATTTTGGTTTCGAATGTTGACCCCTCGACCATCGTTTTTTTATTTTTTTAAATATATCATATTAATTATTTTTGTTTAATTAATAATAAAAAATTCAGAAATTAGTTAAATAATAGAAAAAAATTAATGGGAGAGATTTATAACTATTTCATAACACATGCAAAACACATAAACCATATCCCTCTTATGATCTCATTACTTCTCTTTCTTAAGTAACAACATAGTAAACAGCACAATCGTGTGGGTTCGCATCTTCTCTCTCTCTCCTATGTTTGAAAAAATGTCATTCATTTTCCTATTTCTTTTCTCTTCTCTCCTTTAAAACGTTGCTCTTTTCTTTTCATTCTTACACCTCAACCCCACTTTGTGAAAGTTGAAACTCTCTGCTTTACTTCTTCTCTTCTTCCATTCATTTATTCTCTCTCTTCTCTCATTCACTTTCACTCACGGGTGAATCTCATACATAGAATATACAACAATGCTATTTAATCTTTCACTCTTTTCATTTTCACATGCTTCATCTCTTATTTAACAAACCAACAAAAAACAAACTACTTCCGTTTCATTTTTATGTCTTTTTTCCTCTTCCAGCATTCGGTGTCTTCTAGGTACTAGTGTTTCGTCTCAAACTTCAACGTTTTTACAGTTTTGTTTTTACTTGAGTCTCCATGAGTGATATAAGTCTTTTTCCTTTAGCAAACTCTGAAATGGGTCTTGAGATTTTCAGACCTTCATCAATGTTTCAGTCCAAACAAGAAGATGGGTACTTAGGAAGGTTTCATAGAAAAAACTTGTCTTTGAAGCTTGGTGATGGTGTTGAACAAAAAACCTCTCTTTCTGTGAAAACTGGTTACTCCAAGCTTTGTTCTAGAGGCCATTGGAGACCAGGTGAAGATGCGAAACTCAAAGAGCTTGTTGCTGAATATGGACCTCAAAATTGGAACTTGATTGCAGAACATCTTCAGGGAAGATCAGGTAATCATTAATGAACCTCTAAAGTTTATATTTTGATGGGTTTTACTTTAGAGCAAGTGCATGTTTGGATTCATCAAGAATCAAGAGTTGTTTAGCAGCTATGTAGGACAGACTAGTCTGAAAAAATATATGTCCGAGTCTGATACCTGCACCGACACTTATAATTACGGTTACTTTATTTATTATAAATTATTATCGGTGTTACTGTGTTAGGGTTGGAGTCGGAGTTGGGTCTCTGTGTTTTATGATCGCGCAGAATTATTAACTTAAACTTAAGTATAATTTTTTAAGTCTAAAGTTTAAGATTTTTTGGTAACTATCAAATGGGGTGTGAAAAAAAGTTGTGTTTGATTACAGGAAAAAGTTGCAGATTAAGGTGGTTCAATCAACTAGATCCAAGGATCAACAGAAGCACTTTTTCTGAGGAGGAAGAGGAGAGGCTTTTAGCTTCTCATAAAATGTATGGTAACAAATGGGCTATGATTGCCAGACTTTTTCCTGGAAGAACAGATAATGCAGTGAAGAATCATTGGCATGTAATCATGGCTAGGAGGCATAGGGAACAGTGTAGTGTGTATAGAAGGAGAAAGCCACTTGTTGAAAGTCTTTCTAAGGGTTTGAAATTGAGTCTTTCAAACAATGCAGCTAGTGATTCAACTTTGTCAAGTACTATAGATGGAAATGCCTCAACTTGTACTAATCTCTCACTCACTCCCTCTTCACTTAAACTAAGTCCTCAACTGTTTGATAAGCTAGTCGCAAATGTTCAAAATCACCAAACCTATGGATCATTATTAGGTATGCAATGCTTCATCCTCTCCAATTAGGTCTATCATATGATAGTATCAAATATGGTTTTATGTCACAAATCTTTATGCTACGGTAAAATGGGGCCGATGAATGTTACAATTGCGGTTGCAGTCTGCAATTTAAAACAATGAAGTTTAGTATTATTAACATTTTCTTCTTGAAACCTCTATCATAAAACTGTGAAGTTTAGTATTATTAACATTTTCTTCTTGAAACCTCTATCATAAAACTGTGAAGTTTAGTATTATTAACATTTTCTTCTTGAAACCTCTTAACATAAAACTGCATCTCTGAAAAAAGATGTGTCTATATCAATGTGATATCTAAGACTGACACTGACACTTTGATTATTAGTGGTGTTGAGTGTAGATGTCTATGCTTCATAGTTTGAATAGTTTGAAACTGGTATCTATGTTTAGTAGCTTGAAACTCAATTGTTACATAACACTATGTTACTTTATGTTATGTTATTTTACAGGCAAATCTAGAGAAAGTGGTGTGGAAACTAGTTTTGACAAGTATTTTGGAGGTTGTAAGAAGCATGAAAAGTTAGAAAAGCTCAAAGTAATGGATGTGGTCCAATCCAATTATTCAGATTCAAACTCATCAGAAGTATCAGTATCTGAGTCAGTTGGCACCAACAACAATAGGTCCAATATCTCAATTTCGGGTGAAAGTGTAAATGTTGGCATTAACATGCTAGTACCACCACCATTCATTGATTTTCTTGGAGTAGGAGCTAGCTAAATGGAAGAGAGGTTAGGAAAGTGAGGTAGTCAGGGTCAGGAGAACCGTTTGTGTTGGATGAAAATGGAACTGCTGTAGTGTATTCCCTTATGTACAGTTTCTTCCATAAAAGGCAAAAAGTAAAAAGTGAGTGAACAATGGAAAAGGAAAGAAAAAAAATGCATTAGTTAAGAAGAGAGAGAGAGAGAGAGAGAAAGGACTCAATAATAATTTTCTTAACTTCTGGTTTTGGACTGTTTCTGAAATAGCAGAATAGTAGAGGACTTGTTTGTTATGTTTGTGGTACTTTTGGCATTTTGTTAATCAGAAGCCAAAGTTTTATGACTTGGAAGGATGGAAAGATGTACAACTTATTATTAATGTTACATGAATCAAACCAACTAACCTGTTCTTTGAATTACTCTTCTCAGTGCTACATCATGTCATTGGTTTTTGTGTTTTTTTTTCTTTTGGTCATGTCTTTGCTGTTACATGTTTGACCATATTTGATATGCTACTGGTTTAAGGCAATTGTTTTTGTCCATATTGGTTCAAATAATGTTTTTTTACCTAACTTGATGATGCCAAATTTGTTTTTACCTAATTCTATAGAGTGCTACTTCTATCTAAGGTAATATACAGTTAATCCAAAAGATTAATTAAGTAATGCAGATTTAATAAAGGTTGATGAAATGATTCCTAAATTAATTGCATGTTGATTTCATTAATGTTATGTACTCCTAATCTCAATAAAATAATTAAATGTGTTCATAAAGTATTCTCAATGAGTAATAAGTTTTGTTGTTGAAAATAGAAAAGTTAAATTAAATAAGAGGTATATTAAAGAGAGATACGAGCATTAAATAGTGATTTTTTTTTATTAACATAACTCACTTTTCCCTCCTTAATTTTAATATACCCAATTTTCCCCACACATATTTTAATATATCCTCTTTTTAAACAATTTTTTTTCTACAAGGGCCTGCCAACAACGCTGGTGGTGACCGATAGAAATGTGATTTTTTTGACTCAAATACCCTACTTTCAAACTAATAATCCCACAATACTCCAGTTTGAAATTTATTTATCAGGGCACCTTACTTTTGAGGGAGTTCGCCCATGCAAGGGACGAACTAATGAAAGGGATGCAGGAGTTCGCTCATCCCAAGGGCGAACTTGTGATGAAATGTTTTTTTTTTGTTTTTTTATTTATTCATATTTTCTACAATATATTTTTCTATTTAATTAATTTAAAAAAAACTATTTAATATAAAACATATAAAATCTATTTAATTAAACTAATAAAAAATATATTTAATTAATTAAAAAAAAACTATTTAATATAAAACATATAAAATCTATTTAATTAATTTAATAAAAACATATTTAATTAATTGATTAAATAATTTACAAGAATAAAATTACAAGATTAAATTACAACAATAAAATTGATTAAATAAATATACATATCATCGAAGATGACCCCTAGTTCCACACCTAGGGGGCCTTCGCTGTCGGTATCCTCTGCCCAAACGCTCGTTTGCAGATGACTGAGATGAGTCGGAAGACAAATCTTTATTGTAATGTGTTGTCGGGGGGATTGTCTGCCTTGTAGAGGGTCCTGGTTCATCATCTAGAATATCTTCGATGTTAAAATCCGGCATTTGCATCAGTTGCTCCTCTGTCAGTAAAAAATGTTGGAATGAATGTGATGGTTGTGGGTAGGTTTCGGCTTGGGTTTGTTGAACGGTTGGGATGTAGGCGTCATCAGGCGTGAAGGCGGGTTGAGAGAAGGTAGTGTTGAAGGTAGGATTTGTAGGATATTGGAAATAAGGGTTGTTCTGCTCAAAGTTGGGGGTTGTGCATGGGGTGAACTGTCTGGGTGGTCGGAGGTAGGGTTAGGGCTGATATTGTTGGGTGAACTGGGGGAAGTTATAGTTATGTTGAGCTGACGAGGATGGGTACCCCCAAAATTGAGAGGTGTTGGTTGGTGGGGCATCTTGATGCATTGATGCGGCAGTTGGTTGTGTCGATGATGATGCTTGCGTCCGTGGGTCGGTCAAAAATTGATCAGGAGCAACATGCACATAAGGAATTGCGCGGAACCAAGTTAAATACTGTTGACTTGGCTTGCGTTCACCTAATACAGCGCCCCCTGCAAAATCACATGTCTTCTGTGTCTCCATTCTCGGACCTCGTCCTTATTTAACTGTTGCCAATGAACTTTTTGCGCTTTTCGCATGGTCATTGCGTGTTGTTCCTTTAGACACTTAGGAAGGGGAGGGATTTGTTGGTCTACTCCAAACTGGAGTGTTACCCTATCTGTTTGATGCATCTCAACGATGTAGAAACAAATAAGGTAAGTTGTTGCACTCCAGATTTGGCTATCTTCTAGACGCGGCACCGGTACTGAATGTACGGCCTCCATATAAACTGTCACATAACAAAGAAAATTAAGATGCCATTAAATTGAAGAACCGACCACTATTTTCACTTGGTTTAAAACTTACATCTTTTTCTTGCATATGGTCCAACGCGTTTCGATATCCTTGAAGATGGAAACGAGGAGTTGCACGGTAATTCATTCCTTTTTGTGCCCATCTTGTACAATCAAAAACAAAATAATGTTAGACATATTTGAATAAGAAATATATATATATATATATATATATATATATATATATATATATATATATATATATATATATATATATATATATATATATATATATATATATATATATATATATATATATATATATATATATATATATATATATATATATATATATATATATATATATATATATATATATATATATATATATATATATATATATATATATTACGTACATAAATATGAGTGTTATATTACATAAATACCTTTGTGCATATGGATACGAGGGTTCCACCGTGCTGACAGGAGCGAACAATGGGATGCGTGTGAATGCCCAAGAAGTTAGTAGGAGAGCACAACCACTCATGCTCCTAACTTCTTTTTCTGCTGCCTTGCACATTTCTCTGTACAATTTTGCAAGGCATGCAGAACCCCAACTATATTTTCCACATTCAATGAGATCCCCCGCGAAAGGGACCCAAGAAGAATGCAAAAGGTTTTGAGTTTTGTCAGGAAACAAAATTGTTGCGATCACGAGTAAAATAAATATTTTGGCTTCTAATAAAACATCTTCTTGTGCCGGGTTTTCTTTGTTTTTTAAATTTTCATACTCACTCTCAAGCCAAGTTATCCTAACAAAACCTTTTATTTTATCTTCTTCTTTTGGTTCCTTCCCCAAGTAATCCATGTAAACAGAACTTGTTACCTCGGTGGCACCGTTGATAGCTTTGCCATCAACTCGTAGACCTAGTAACATACATGTATCTTCAAGGGTTATGGTGCATTCACCTGTTGGCAAATGAAATGTGTGGGTTTCGGGTCTCCATTTCTCCAACAGAGCAACAACTAAGCTTGAGTCGATTTTCAAACTGTTTATTTTTGAAATGTGTGCGAATCCTGCGATCTCAAGATAAGGCATTATTCTATCATTCGCTCGAACAGGAGAATGTGAATGCACCCTAAACCTCGGGGCATTAATCTGCAACAATATTAAACCAACATTAATTACTCACAATTTTTACGACGAAATAATAATTTGACAAAGAACTATCTAAAATATGAAAAACTTACACTATTATTGATATTTTGTTGTGTTCCACGGTGCTCATCACCCATCCACAACAATGCCATTTTAGTCGGGTAAAAATTGCAAGATAGTAGAGGAATAGAAGTGAGAATTGCTAGGAAGTAGATAGAACTAGAAGTAAAAATGGTGTGTAAATTTTGGAGGTAAATAATTTGAATATATAGTAGTGCGTATTGAAAATAAAATATTAGGTTTAATAAATTTGAAAGTTATAGATTGAAGAGACTTTTGCATGACACCTACGTTTTTTTGCATGCATGTAATACTAGCTTCTTACACCATGTCGTATGCATGTGAAACATTTTTAGCAGACCCTCACATGTTCGCCTTTGGGTGGGACGAACCAATGTTGCACTTCACGTGTTCTCACACAATTTCTGATACAGGTTACACATTGACGGAGGCTTCATTTAATTATTATCGCGGAGAAATCAGAAGATCCAACACTGGGGCTTTAAATTAGATAGACAATATTCCTAGGGAGAAGTGGGCTAGAGCATTTGACAGATGGCAGCGTTGGGGACATATGACATCTGACTTAGCAGAAACAATAAACTCTGTACTAAAGGCCACGAGAAACCTTCCCATCACTGCATTGGTCCAGTCTACATATTATCGAATGGGTTGACTATTTGGTAAACGAGGACACAAATGGACCAAGATGCTATCTTCAGGGAAAGTTTTCACAGATGGTTGTAACAAGGGAATGGCTGAGGAGGTAGCCAAGGCTAACACACACAACGTCATGCAATTTGATCGGGAAAGATTCTGTTTCATGGTGCAGGAAAAGATTAATTACAACGATGGTCGTCCAACGGGTACTTTCAGCGCTGACTTGAGGAATCATAAGTGTGACTGTGGAAAATTTCAAACATTTCACTTGCCTTGCTCCCACGTGATAGCGGCATGTTCTAGCATACGACAAGACTATGCAATTCACATTCCAGAGGTCTTCACAGTACTTAACGTATTCAAGGTTTACAAGGAAAACTTCCTGGGACTACCGCACGAGGAGAACTGGCCAAAATATGAAGGTTTCACTCTGTGCCACGACGATTCAACGAGAAGAAATAAAAAGGGGCATCCAAAAAGTAGTAGAATTAGAACTGAGATGGACGACGCAGCAAAAGAGAAGAGACGGTGTGGGATTTGCAGAGAAATAGGTCATATGCGTAGTAAATGTCCCAATGTTGCCGGTCCGTCAAACCGACCTAATAGATAATTATATTGTACTACTTTTGTATTTGATCCATCAATTATTTTTAATTCAAAACAACTTTCAAAATACAACAAAAGCAGCGAACTACAAACATAAAG